CCCCTTTTTACTGCTAACATCACCTTAGGCCGTCGTGCTCCTGAAAATACCATTTCATCGGAGCAAGGATTGTAACATAGTATTACCTAGTGTAAAGCTTTAAACTAATTAACTATATACTTTTACTTAATTAACTAGTAACTAATTTTACACTATTTTTTTCTTTAAAGGCTGTTTATTTTATTTAGAGTAGAGTAGTAAAACACTTAGTTTATATAAACTCTTAAAGTTAAATAACTAATATAGTAGAAATATATACATAGTACTTAATTAACTAAGTGCGCGTCTACTGCGCCTAGTATACTACTAAAGATCTAAGAGGCTTTTTATAATTAAGAACTTTTAGTATACAACATAGTTAATATTAAAGATATTAATACTTATGCCTAGTAAAGTAGTAGCTACTATAATTTAGATATAAAATGTTAGCTTTTTAAACCTAAAATAACACTTATTTTAGTTATATTTTTACACATTTATAGTAAACATCTTTACTATGTTGTACACACACTATAGACTATTATTAATATTAGTTATATACTAATTATAGAGTTTTAGTTTTTTTATTAAATAAAGAAGCATTAAGTAAAACTACACTATCGCTAACTAAATAAATATACACTTATTAATAAATATAACTATATTAAAGATCTTTTTAGAATTAGTACACTTACTTAAAACACTTTTTTTAAAAAGAAAATAAAGACTATTTTATAAGTTAACTTTACCTTATAGTAAAAAAACTACTAAAATAGTAACATGAAAGTAATTAACTAATGTGTAAATAACTATATTCTAGTATATATAGCAGCCTAGCAGATAGAAACTAGTGTAGTGTAAGACTGCATCCTCTATAGTACTGTCTAACATAGTAGAACAGGTAAACTAAATAATATTTTTTTAAAGTATAACTTATAGTTAACTTAGTATTATAAATATAAGTTAAAACTTTTTTAGTCTAATATAAAATAATATTTATTAATAGCTACTAATTTAATCTAAAACTATAACTTTAGATTCTTTAAAATGTCTTAAAAAGCTCTACTAAAAGCCTACTTTAGCTTTATAAGTAGATAAGTAAATTTTTTATTAATAATTTAAGTAAATAGTTCTTGCTAACTAGCCTTACTTTACACATTAATAATGCATAGCTTAGATTTTTTTAGTTATTATATGTTATCTAGCTACTTATTTTTAAGCTTATTTAGTAAAAGAATCTAAATAGTAATTTTAGCAATTAACACTAAATAAGTATAAAAGATTATGCTTTTACTAAAACTAGTTTAGGTAATTAAAAAAGTATTCTTATAGTTAAATATTAGTTGCCTTAAAGTATAGACTTAATTATTATGTAGTAATAAGCTATTATTATTAGCGCTTATTATTCTTTCTTTGCAAACGATCTGTGTAAGACATGTGTAGAGAATGTCTTTTTAAAATTTAACATTATAGACATCCCTAGCTACTAAGATAAGGCTAGAAAAATTCTTTAACTTTATAAATAAAATAAGATTAATCTAAAGCTAAAAGCTTTAAAAAAAATAAAGCCTTAACTTATTATATTTAAAGCATTTTAATATTTTTACTTTTTTCTACTTTTCTACTATTTTAAACACTTATCTTTTTTTATCTTTTTTTTTTACTATACTTTAAAAGTTTTTAAAAGTTTTTAAAAGTTTCTAGAAGTTTTTTAAAGGTGTAGAATCCTTAACACCCTTCTTATTAACTAGGTTATATAATGCAGTAGGTTAAGCGTAAGTGTACTAATAACTGCAATTACACACCTACACCTGTTTACACTAAAGTTTTAATTATAAGAGGTAATAAAGAAAGCATGTGTGCCTTAGCTTCTACAGTTATAGAGGGATACAACACATAGTGTTAATAGAAGTAATAGAATAAAGATAGACAGTTAATAGCTAAAACATATAACATATTAAAAACACATTTAATAATGTACTTTACTTTTTAAATAGTGTTAGATATGTTTTAAAATATGCTTATTATAAAAATAAATACCTTTATTTTTAATTACATAAAACATTGTAATAGATACTAATGCTAGTGTAGTGCTATTATATAATTTAATAAATTTATAAACTAAGATATATATAAACTTGCTCTATTTCTTTTTAGACACTTTATAACGTACCTAACAGGTTGGCTGGCTACACAGGTTAGCTAGCCACTTTTTCTAAGCCTCTACTAAACTCTACCTATCTATATAATGCTTTAACAACAACACTAGATTAAATCTTCTAAAGAATATTAAATATAGCTTACTTTTTAAGCTTTTAAATAAAACTTAAAACTTTTTTTATAACACACTATAGCTATTTATAATGTCTTTTACATAACACTAAGTAATTAACGCTCTAGATAGCCTTTATAAGTAAAATGCTAGCCTAAATTAAGGAATCTAACTAAGCTTAAAAAAAAGTAGTTATTAAGTATATACTTAAGCTTATTATATATAGATTTTCTTTTAAGCTTATAGCTATAGCTAATATAGCTAATTTCTTACGTGTAAAGTATAATCTAGGCTAGGTTAGCTTAAACTAGTCTAGTATGTAAGTTAAGCACTACTTTAAAGTTATAATAAAGCTTATAAGTATTATTATAAAAAAGTGCTTTATAAAGATTTAAAAGTTATCTAAGGCTAGTTTTACTTAGTAGCTAATATAAAAGCTAAGTATAGTATCTAAGATAAAGACATGTATAACTTTAATAAGTTAAGCTTTATAATAAGCTAAATATTAACTAAAGTAGTTATTATAGCTTTAAAAAGATAAAGACAGCTAAAAGTAATATATTAAAGTAATAAAAAGTAGATAATAGTTATTTAAAGCATTAATATAATAAAGTAAGCTATTTTACTTTTTATTATTTTTAAAAGCTACTATTACTTCTTTACTTAGTATAAGAAGAAGAATCTATCTTAGAACTAGGTTATTATAGTCTTTAAAAATAGCTAGATAATAAATAAGCTTAAGCTGTAGTAGTTAAAGCACTTTAATAAGCATATAAAAAAGTTATAAGCGCTTATTAGCTTTTTATTATTAATAGCTATAAAAGCTATAACTTACTTAATTTTTAGTAGTACTATAAAAAAAATAAGATTATTACTATTTATATGCTTTTACACTTATTACACCTTTTATAGCCTTTTAATATAGGTTGTTTTGCCCTTTTAAAAAAGGTATATAGGCGCTAAGCTAAAGATTTTATGTGTAACTAAATTACTTATATTATAAAACTTAAGTTTCTACTATGCTTTATCCACACTTATAATATAGTAATTACTTTTAGTAATATCTAAAGAGGGTTTTAAAGCGCTAGTTTAGTCTTATTTAACCTAGAATAGGTTAAAATAGCCCTTAATATCTAGTTATGTACTTTATTACTACTACTACTTATTAATAATAAGCCCTAGCAGTTGTAAACTCTAAGTAATACTTTTAAATTTAAGTTATAATTAATGCTTATAAAAGTAAGAATTTAGAGGCATATAGATAGCTTACTAATGTTTATAGTAAAAGCCTTTAAAAGGGTTTTAAAGAGGGTAGCAATTATTACATATAAGCTAGTGGTAGTGTAAAAAGAGATTACAAAGCTTTAAGTAGTAAATAAGGCTACTATATAACATAAATTACATAAAAGAAAGCAGATTTAGGCAAAAAAGACTTTAATAGTTAAAGATAAGGCTTATCTAACTACTCTAAAGAAGTTTAGAGTGTGTAGTAATAAAAAAAAGCTAAAGACGCAAGTGCATGCTAAAAAAGGTAAGCTAAGTTAAAAGTAATATAAGTAGTGTAATTAAACTAGGCATAACTTACATACATGTAAGAAAGTAGTAAAAGTAGACTTTAAATAATATCTTATGTTATATTACTTTATATAAGGCTAATGTAGGCTGCTTTGCGCTAGAATAGGGTGGTTTTAGTAGGGGCTTAGCAAAAGTGGCCAGCTAACCTGTATAGCCGGCTAACCTGTTAGGTACGTTACTATTTATATGCTTTTACACTTATTGCACTTTTTATAGCCTTTTAATGTAAGTTATTTTACCTTTTTAAAAAAGGTGTATAAGCACTAAGCTAAAAATTTTATATATAACTAAATTACTTATATTATAAAACTTAAGTTTCTACTATGCTTTATACACACTTATAATATAGTAATTACTTTTAGTAATATTTAAAAAGAGTTTTAAAGCGCTAGTTTAGTCTTATTTAACTTAAAATAAGTTAAAATAGCTTTTAATATTTAGTTATATACTTTATTACTACTACTACTTATTAATAATAAGCCTTAGTAGTTATAAACCTTAAGTAATACTTTTAAATTTAAGTTATAATTAACACTTATAAAAGTAAAAAGTCAAAGGTATGTAAATAGCTTACTAATATTTATAGTAAAAGCTTTTAAAAAAGTTTTAAAAAAGGTAGTAATTATTATATATAAGCTAGTGTTAGTGTAAAAGAAAATTATAAAGCTTTAAGTAGTAAATAAAGCTACTATATAATATAAATTACATAAAAAAAAGTAGATTTACGTAAAAAAAACTTTAATAGTTAAAAATAAAGCTTATCTAACTACTTTAAAAAAGTTTAAAGCGCGTAGTAATAAAAAAAAGCTAAAAACATAAGTATACACTAAAAAAAGTAGGCTAAGTTAAAAGTAATATAAATAGTGTAATTAAACTAGGCATAACTTATATATGTGTAAGTAAGTAGTAAAAGTAGACTCTAAATAATATCTTATATTATATTACTCTATATAGGGCTAAAGTAGGCTGTTTTGCGCTAGAATAGGGTGGTTTTAGTAGGGGCTTGGCAAAAGTAGCCGGCCAACCTGTGTGGCCGGCTAACCTGTTAGGTACGTTAGATAATTTTACACATTATTAGTAATTAGCCTCTAATTAGCCTAAAAGACTCTAGAAGTTTTAATTAGCTTAGAAGTTTTAGAAGTTTTGTCTAATCTAAAATAGTATTAGCGCAAAATCATCTGTGGGGCGGCTGACTTGCGAGATAATTCGACACGGCCATCCTACGCACCTCGAGATGCAGCCTGATACGCAGCGATACATAATTCCCGCAACGTGAGAACAAGCCATTTGCATTAGCCTTGATCTCTAAAAGCCGCCATAGTGAACAAAAGACTAGATGAAGCCTTTTACGTCCTCCCGCCGTCTCTTGAACTCGTCCCCAAGCTGATTCCAAGACGAAGCAGTAGTCAAGGGTCAGTCGCAGCTCATGGATGGAGAATAAAATGAAAAGAAAGGTATTGGGTAAGGGAGGGGGGAGAGGCAGCCGTAGGTGTTGAATGCTTGACCAGGCAGGTGGGTTGTGTCACCGGCAGCACGATGATAGTTCAAGCAGGCGCATACGCATGTGGAAAGGCTCGAAACATTTCAGAGATACACAGTCATACGGCCAAACAACCAACGGCTCCTTATATAAGCACTCCAATCATTAGGGCTGTAAAGAGGCGCTCAAATTTGACCGTTCAAATTCGGACGAAGTGCAGACTTCTAGCATTTCAAAGGGCTTGCTATGGTGAGCAGATATCTGATGTAGCGCAATCATGACCACCACGGAACTGAACCGTTGCGGCTACGCTTGGCGAGGTACTATACCAGAAGCTGCATACCATCTTCTCTTTAACATATTTTTGCTTCTAGGGCAAGGTCAGTGTCAGACCGGTTCGGCCGTCCTCCCTGCTGGTGGTGGCACCGAGTGCATTACTAGAAGACTTGTGACGCGAGAATCCCGCCTTCAAGCACGCCTATTTAGCCGCGCTGAGCAACTTCTGTTGGAAGCAACCAGTTGGGTGTCGGGCAGTAGTCGACCGCTGTATGTTTGGGCACGTGACTCGCTAGTATTAGCTTGGTATATAGCTGGCTGTTTGGCCTTGCTCTTTAATCAACACTCTTACACACCAACAGCTTTGCCCTGCCTCCTGCCTCATCATCCTCCAATTGCTCCGTGGAGGTGTTCCGCCTACTCTTGGTGTTACCTAGCATCGAGATTAAAATGCACGTATCATCAATAGAACAAAGATTTTGTGCTTATGGGTTGTGTGTGACAGCAATGGACAGCTTCTGGTACGCGCAGTCTCAACATAAAACTTGCGGAGAGTTTATTTCGTTCGCATTGCATTCCTTTATTTGAATGAAGCCGAAAATTGAACCTTTAAAGCGCAAACATAAGTAGCAAAGTCGTCGTTCCTTATGACCAGTGTGTGCTGACAGTTCTTGAATCCCTGGGGGAGGAGAGAAATAGTATCGGCTGAAAAAGAACTATTTCCGATCGTGGCTTGTGTTTGCACTTTAAGGGTGATAGGGAAGGGTTTATCAATGATCCTTCTGAAAGTTTCTCCTTGAAATCCCTCCATTGTTGCATGTTTGCAATTCTTGGATGTGGAACAGGGTTCACGCAAGACAAAACATGACTTGGTAAAGCTGAGTCCCTTTTAAGGCCTTGTCGCCGAATAGCCTCTGTCGTCAACAAGGTCTATTTTCTCGATGCAAAAGAATATGGCCTCTGTGAAATCTACTGTACACAGTTCAACATTAACCTCTTTTGAGATGAGGCCGTACACTTCTCGAGGTAAGATCTCATAGTCGCACTGTCCAGCGGGAGTTGTCGTCGATGTTCGGGAGTGCTCAGATGGCTTTCAGCGGCGTTCACCTCATTTGACTCGTTCAGACGTTCCCAGTGACTTTCATCGATTTTTATGAGATATTCCCATAATGGGACTCTAGGCAGACCGCTATGGACCGTGAAATCTACCCCAGAATCCACCAGGCTGAGCTCGATAACTTCAGTGTCGTCAATTATGAGGGCGCCATCTTGGATGAAAAGGTCTAACTCTTCTTGAATTGCGGTTTCCTCCACTACTGACTTGTGGATAGTCTTCAGGGTATCGTTCTGTGTGGGCACCATTGCAAGGCTAGGTTCAACATCTTCGTTTTGGAGACAGCTCTCTGCTGCCCCCAAGAAAGGCTGCACTACGCCTGTTAATAGTGGTGTCGATTGGTCCCCAGTTACGTGAAGTGTTGCCAAAGAATCATCTTCCTGGAAAAGGATACCCCTATCCTTATTGTTCTGACACTCTTGATCAACTGCTTGGTCATATTGTTTCATTTTTGGATCCCTGTCAGCCAACTAAACAGAAACGACACGTTTTCTGCGCCGACTTTAGTCGAAGAACTCGTCCATTTCTTGACCTCACCGTCTTAATTCACTCAGAAGGTTCTCCTCTATACCCTAAATCAGAGATTCTATGCGGCTCTGTTGTTAGCCAACTAAATCTTAGTTTTGCATTATAGGACAGCAATATAGCCTGCAGGGTGAGAATAAGCAATAATTTTGCAAACTCAACACCATCAATCAATTCTAGAATATCCTCCTCCTTCAAAACATATACCAATCTGTCGCGGAATTTCTAAAAGAGCCTTTGATTTTTGTCCGCTTTGTCTTTTGCGGATGTTCAATTTTATTCAGAACATCTTGTGCGATTGTTACAATATGCTCAAGCCGTGAGTTGCAATGCTCTAGAAGGGTTTTGGATTTGCCATCAATAGTCACTTTGAAGGTGTAAGAGTTAGAGGTAGTCCGGTTGACTTCCTTGACAGCTGTTTGGACCTAGGAGGATCTATTATGTGCAAATATGAGGAAATTTCTTAGCTTTCCTTAGATCTTTTTTTCTCTTACTAAAATTACATAGAAGATTATAATCTTAATAGAATTCCTAATATATTAATAAATTCTTCTTAAATATTATTTATAAGTTAAAGCCTTAAGTTTATATAGAGATACTGCTTATTTCTAGAGTAATAGGACAACAATAGGCCTAAAACAGAAGGCTAGAGCAGCTCTAGCTACCTAGACGCGTTAAATTAACCTTAGTAGCAACCTACTAGCCTATTCTACGCGTGTAAGGGCACAGGGCCTGTTAAGTAAGCGTAAGAAGACTGCTAGTAGTACTAAACTAAAGTTAGTGTGTTATAAGTTAGCCTAATAGTAAAGGTAAAGTAAAAAAAGCTTACTAGATTCTAGCATCTACTAAGAGCAAGCTTGCACTTAAAAAAGTAGTAAAAGCAACTAAACAATCTACTTCTTCTACTCTAGCTTAGTAAAAAGTTGTTTCTATAGTTTTTACTTATTACCTTAAGCCTAATACTTTATTTATTATACTTAAAGATAACTTTTTTTACTACTAAAACACTTCTTTCTAACCTTTATCTTATCTTAGCCTACTTCTGCTTCTGTAGCTGCTAAGAAGTCTTCTTCTCTTAATTAAATAGTTAGTAGAGTTTAATATTACTATATAATATTTAGTACACATAAATAGTAATAAAGTTAATAGTAAGCTAGTAAATATAGTTATTTCTTTAGCATTTTTTTTTTACTTTTATAGGTAAAAAATTAAGTTAATGCTATAATTAAAAGCCTTTTTATATAAAAGTATGTAAAGGCTTAAGATTTCTATATTACCTTACATGCTGTTTAATATAAGGCTAACAAGTAGAGGGCTAGCTAGCAGCTTTAAATAATAAAAGACTTTAGGCTTAGTAAAAAATAAAGGCTATTCTTTAGCATTAAACATTATATTAGACGTCTTAAACACGCAGATAAAGTAGATATTAAAGTAGAAGTAAAGCTTATATATATAATAAGAATAAAAGCTTTTTTATATAACTAGTTAGTAAATAAGCCTTTATCTAATCCTTCTATTACTCTAGGCTACAGAGAAAAGTTGCCCTAGCGTATTGTTACGTCCCTACCACACTATGCGGTTTACAGATGGACTACCGTAGGTTCCCCTAGGGTGCCCCACTGCCTTAACAAACAAGGATGGAAAATGTTTATGTTAGAATAGGAAGAGATAATAGGCTTAGATAAACAGGGCTTAACGCACATAGACTAATTGTTAAGCAAATGCCTTGTCTAATAGGGACGTAAAGAAAAAACGTGCAACAGCCTGCAAGAGGTAGCACTATAGTGCTGCACGCTCTTACATGCTTAGGCAACCTACAACATAGTTTTGTAGACTACTAGCTACTATATAGACTAGAGAAAGATTAACCTTAAAAAGGTGTAATTAATGTTTAGTTTATTTCTTACATAGACTAGGTAGCATTTTAGCTTTACAAAGAGCGGTAATACTAGTTGTATATATTGCACTATATATACCTCCCTTTCTGTTTAACAGAACTGTTTAACCTAGTGCCTTATACCACTGTCTAGGGGCAAACTATAATTAGGCCTACCTTATCCCCATCGCTTGCCCTACCCTGCGCCATTAGCTAGGCTGTACACCTAGTGACGCTACATTCTTTTTGCTATACCCTTTGTAGGCCTGCGTACTTGCAACACTGCAAGTAAGGATTATAACATTAATTACTACTTTCTCTAATAAAGTAAAATACTACAACAGTTTATAAATAATCTATAAAAGCAAAGCTTGCTTAGAGTAATAGTTAGTACATTAAGGTAGGTTATTTAGGTTAAAGAATAGTTGTAGCATAATGCTTAGCAAATTAGTATTAGACAGGTAATAGACACATACTAACAATATTTAACTATAGCATGTAACTAATTACAGCCTGTAACTAAGCGTAGCTAATACTAATCTCTAACACACTAATATAGCTAATGCTAATCCCTAACACACTTATATAGCTAAAAAAGTAGAATAAACATAACTAACTATAATTTAAATATGTTTTATATAACATATACTAAAGTAAACTACGTGTAAATTAATATAAAGATGTATATATATTAAGTATACATTATTTTAAAAAAGAATATAAGAAATATATAAAGTAATAAAAATAGTATTACTAAAGTTTATTTAAAAAAAATTATAACTAACTAGTGTGTTTTAAAAAAAAGATTTTACTTAGCTTTATATTTTGTAAACTTAAATATATTAAGTATAGTAAAAGTTACTAATAACTTACTTTATTTTTAGTAATACTATAAAGATAGTAAAATTATTACTATTTATATACTTTTTTACTTATTACACTTTTTCTAGCCATTTACTATAGGTTATTTTACATTTTTAAAAAAGTATATAGGCGCTAAGTGTAAAGATAGGATGGTAGGTAGCACAGATAGCACTGAGAGCAAGCTTTCAGAGAAAGATAGAAGTGTATTGTAAGAGAGACGAATCGCTGCCAAGCCTCGCTTGTTTAGATTCATGCTTATATACAAAGCACCTGTCATGTAACCTCTAAACAGGTTAGAGGAGGCCATACTAGCCTGTTCTAGGACATCTAGCCTTACATTATCCCCTCTTATAGTAGTCCTACAACTTAGAGGATAGAACAGATAATAATAAGCCTAAGTAGCATAATGAAGTGTTATATAATGCTTTAAACACTAACTTTTGCCTATTTTAGTTAATTTTATGCAAGTTTATTTAAAAATAACCTAAAGTTATTAAGTAAAAGTAAAGTAAAAGTATAAAGTAAAAGTAAAAGTAAAATAGCAGTATATCTTACCCTAATAAAGTAGCAGTTAGGACAGTATATATAAAGTCTAACTATTCTAAAAGTCTATCTCCTTTACACCTCTACTTTCTTTATAGGTTAGAATTTAGAAAATTTTAAACCTTTTAAAGTAAGTATATTTTAAGCTACTTTAGCGCAATCTAGCGCAAAGGGGTGCTAATAAGCTTTAATAGTTCTATTTAACTTTACTTGCGTCTACTTGTTGCTTAATCTGCTTTTAGCTTCTTTCTTTATACTTAATAACTTAAAAATAAACTTTTATAGCCTACTTTATTATAGTTTAGCTAGACAAAGTATTAGGATAATACAATTAAAATAAGCTATTAATTATGCTTGTGCAACTATTTAGGGTGACTATATAATTAATTAAATGGAGGGGGCAGATGTTTAGTAGGGCTCGCTAAATGCTGCCCGGAACAGACTTTTATCCTAGTACTGTACTAAGCCGCGGTTGCTGGATAGTGTGGAATAGATTCCACGCAAAGAGCATGCATTTGGTTCTAATCGCAATAATAAGGAAAACATCGCGGTTAGGGTGTGCCAAATTCAAGCAAATTGCTGCTTCTTTAAGGACATCCTTCCAGCCGCTAGGTTGGTCTAGTGCTGCCTTTTTGCATTCCACCTAAAGATAATCTCTTTTGCGAGTTGTTAGTTGTGCAGGAGTAAGTTTGATAATACAACGTCTGGAATGTGGGCCTCCACATTAGTAGCGGGCCCCCTGTTGACTTCTGTGTCAACAGCCCATACTGAGCCCCCTGGTACATGGGTGACATCCGGGAAGTACATCCTGCATATTGCTGCCCATGGGTTGGTGATAGGACGTTCGTATTGAGAGTCAGGTCCACTGTTGCTTATGGCATGATTGAGATCATTTATCTTCATGTACGTTGTAGTGCCTTGAGTCCAAAAATGGAGGTTCCCGGGAATACCGGGTATTTGTGGTTGAGGTTGTTGTCTGGATGTGATGGAATCAGCCGTGAAACGTCAATGACTGGCCGGCCGCTTTGACTTACGCTGCCATCTTGATAGTTGTAAAAAATTAGAAAATTAGAGCTTAAGATAGATAAAAAATAGATAAGGTAAGTAAGAACAATTACTAGAAGCTATAGAATAAAAGGTACCTAGGGACATCTCCGCAACTTATATTTCATCATAGTCACAGAAATCCGCTGAGAGATTACCTCTCTCTTTGGCCACAGAGAGAGACATGTTCCGCCCGAGCCTATTTTGGCCGTAGCCTGACCTTTAGTTGTTAACAGGAACACGCGCGCTTAATTCATTAGGCGTTGTTCATCGTTAGCCATATATCTCAGGCATCAGAAACAGACATGTTCCGCCGGAGTATGTTTTTGGCGTAACATAGCCTTAACAGTGAACACAGACGCGCGCTTAACTCATTGGGCGCTATTCCTTGTTGGACATATCTCTTAGGCGTCAGGAACAGATGCTCCGCCTGAGTATATTTTTGGCGTAACATAGCCTTAACAGTGAACAGAGATGCGCGCTTAGCTCGTACAGGATGTGGGGTTTCCACAGACCAGGAGCAGTGCTCTGCCTTGATTGAGAATTGTTTGGATCACGACGCTCATTCAATACTGGCACATTTCTAACTTAAATAGCAAGCTCCTGCTACCATTTTAATTGTTTTCCCACGCCTTACAGACTTAAGCTCTTCTTTCCTACACAAACCAGCACTCTCATCGCTTGTTCGACCTCCAGGATAGTGCAACCCCGTGAGTCTATTCTCTCCCCACAGTCATACCTGAATTCTAATGCTTTTACACAAGATAACCCAAAATGGCAATTAAATATAATGGCCGCACCTAGACTAATAATTACTCTTATTATTTGGACAAAATGACTAACAAATGGGTCGCAGCATCAACCGCAAGTGGAACTGGAAGCTAGACTTAAAGCTAACCTAAAGACAACACAACAACAGAATATAACAGTAATACTTAGACTCCTGATAGGGCAGCCTACTTGGACAAGTTGAAGAATTAATAGGTTAAGGCGCCTATGTAATGGAAAACCGCGTCAACTTCATCTTCTTCATACACATCACCACCACAACCCCTCAGCCACAGCACTGCCACGAACATGACCAATTCAATGTACTCCATGTTTCAGACAGTTTTAAATCCAACTGCTGGGGCGCCATCACGGAGGCGGTTGGTAGAGCAGAACCTGCAGACTCCTGGCCAACCAGCGCAGCTGTATGTCCCACTGAGCCCGGCATTTATAGCTGCTGGCCAACGGAGTTTTCTTTTTGGATCCTTTATTCACGCTTATAATAAGCTTTCTTGAGGTGAAGTGTAGACCAATATAACGAGATACGTGGGGCTGGACTTGCTTGGAATATGTTTGTTACGCTCTCTGTTGATTTCCGTCTACACTCGTTCTCGCTCGTTTACGTATGCGTTTTGCCCTTACCGCATGTTTTTCTAGCTATTCTGATGGTTGCATGTGTCCCTAAATATTGTTTTGCTATTTGCTATTTGCTATTGCTATTGCTTGTTTATCTAGCTAGATATCTATCTTATTGGATGTGTGGTTCTTCCATTGCTCATTGTCGCTTGTATATTGGCGGAGTGACCGGAGAAATAATATTTGATGCCACAAGATCCGCCGAGTTGTACGGATATTTATGCTGTATAAGTGGTATTCGGTCTGATGCCCGCCTTCGATCTCCGAGAGCTTGCGAGATAGATATCCACGACGAGGTTGTTATAGGCTATAATAAAGTGCGTTGTGATGTGGTCTTAGCAGAAGTAAGCGACTCAGGTCTGTGAGCAACTTGACTATGGGGTACGTGAGCGCAAAATCATCTATAGAGCGGCTGACTAGTGAGATAAGTCTCTTGTAGCACCTGTTGCATCTTGTCACCTCCATAGATCATGACAAAGTAAACCGGGACAGAAATTCACATAAGGTCAATACTCTTTAATTCCAGCAAGAGGTTTAATAGATGGAGTCCATCTTGGTTGTGTCCAACATTATGGAATTATATAGCTGAACGACTCTACGCCTCCTACGCCGCTCCCACAGTACTCCCTACCGGACTAAATCTAACATTGCTCACCGTTATCTGCGGAGGCGATTGACTACCATCGAAATCCCTCCTATTGTACGCGTCTGAGCACACACCCCTCTGCACCCCTCTGCACTTCATATCCGCATCCTGCGGCCACTTAGAATCTAGCCACAACACCTTCGAATCCAAGTCATCCGTTAAGGACACCACGAAAACCATGCCTTTCTGCAGAGCTCTTGTAAGTCCTTCAAACCCGCCTTTTTGGGAGAAACAGTTGCGGTCGCCAAACGCGGTTTTCTAGGCGTCACAGTACGACGGGTTGAGAGTAGAACCTGCGGAAGTCAGTTACTTGGAAGCGTTGGGGGCGGTGTAAGCACTGACCTGCGACTCTAAGGATCTTGGACTCGATGTTGGCGATGGTGATGTTCCCTTGGATGCATATCCGCTTTATGGTGGCCAACTTGGAACTGCTTGTCAAGAACTGCGTGATCACAGTGAACTTCTTACTCGTGTCAATGCTAACTTTCTTGACAGCTGATTCAGCATTCCCGTAGAATTCCGTCTGACCCATTCTGTAGGGTTGAAATCGCAGCCATCCCCATCACAGAACGAACTGCATTCCTCTTGAAAGCACACTGTCTGTGCATTCGCATTGCAGGGATGAGTGGACATGGAGGTTGCGATGCTGTTGCCATTCAAGCCGTCGACGTGAGAGCAGCAAGACCCATAGCTACCTGTTCCAGTCTACATGTTGGTACTGGAAGGTTGCCAGCCTTCTACATTTGCCTGGAGACACGTTCTTTAGTGTTCAGAATTCAGAAGCCATCATTGGGGTCGTTAGCATACTTCGCCATTGAGGAAATGCAGATCTCTTGGACACTTTGCATCACAATAACCAGTTCCATATCCAGCGCCCGATTGCTCAGGGTTGGGGTACTTGCCTTGTTGCCCATCCATATCCATGAGGTTGAAAGACACCACGCCATTGAGCCCACAAGGAAGCCTACTGACATCCACATCGAACGAGAACTCCTTGTCTAGCAGGTCGAATCTTCACACGTCAGTCTGAGCCTCCTCCTATAGCCTTGACAGCATACCTCTGATATTTAGTGGAATTTGCCAAAAGAAAGAGTCTTGCTCCGAAGTTCGTCATGAACTCGCTGCTCGTGACGAAATTCACCCTTAGGGACCCGCCACTTGCTTTCACGCCATGGGCGACATAATCGATCCCATCGAACGCGCAATTTTTCGCAGTCTTTATTGTCGAAACAAACCGAGACATTCCAGTAGTTCCCGGTGACGCAGTCTTTATAGAAGCTATTGCTCTGGTAGATGCGTCTCAACTGAGCATCCATGACGAGTTTCGAAGTTTGCGTGGTGCATCCTCCGTTGGAAGAGCATTGTTGCCATTGAAGGGTCGGTGACGTTTCGACGGTAGGAGAAGTGCTAGGCTGGGCACTCGCGACTGCACGTAGGAGCAGGAATGAAATGAATACACGCTGCATCTTCTTGGCTGATAAGAAAATTGAAGGAAAGTCCTACTCTTCACGCTTAATGTGGCGATCGCATCATTAAGCGTGGGCAGGTATCATAGAATCATAGAGTCAGATGTTCTGTGAAGGAATACTACCTTATTGATGAATTCATATATGTACTTCACGGTTTTTCCAGGCTTGTCTCATCCCGTATTCTCGAAGCGGACTAGGTGATTGGTGGGCGAATTACCTACTGCAATGCCTAATTTAATATGAGCGCGCTTGCTCCCTCTACAAGAAAAGCACGCGTTAACCGGCTTATTAATAGGATCAGAAATGAAATAGACATACCATCTAGGCTCGCCTATGTCTTGAAGTCAGTTAGAGAGGTGATCGGACTTCTATCTATGCTGTGCCAATCACCACGAGTCATGAGGGACTAAACACTTTAAGATGCTTGTGATTCATATCCAAAGGGATTAAAGGAAACCAAGCCATACTAAAAACTCCATAGGTCTTGCGTCCATAGGTATCATAATAGTTCCAACGCTCACCGCTCCCCCCCCAAGACTTAGGGTGTCCGACAGACCAAGTGGCTGAACTGGAAGCGCTCAAGCATCCCTCCTCGCAGCAGTTTCTTCATCAAGAGCCGCAACAGAAAGGGAGCGATCGGACTATGAAGATATACCAGACAAAAATTAACGTTATCAGTAAGAGTATCATCGCAACGATCAATTTCGCAAGCACTCGCTCGACCCCAAAGCGAACATCATCCACTTGTACACGCTCAATGTCTGCCTCCTCATCCACTATGTCAGAAATATTCAAGTCGGATGGTATATGGGAGATCAGGGTAGCTCGATATGATTGTTGCACGGCGACATGGTAGGAGGGTGGTGCTTCGGTTGGAAGAGGGTATAGGTATGCTAGGGGCACGTCGTCGTCGGAGTCGGGTACGATATCTGAGTATGGTGGGAAGTATGGGGGGCTGTTTGCAGCGTCGGCTGCGGCACGATAACGAGGCGTTCGGGAGGGTGTCGTGTGGCCGGCTTCAGGAGACGCCGAGGGTTCATCGTGATATGGCTCTTGTGAAGCTGGTGCCGGGCTTGGGATGGAAGGGAGAGGCTTCCAGGGAGAACTGCTAGCCGATGGCGTTGATGAGGGAGCTCGAGACGATGACGGTGAGTCTTGATACGGTTCCTGTATAGGGTCCTGCATTGATAGATGAGCATAGGTCGTGCGCCGACACCTTTCTCAACCGCATCTCAGATGCCCATTAGAGCTAGAGACAGCTCCCGAGGCTAGGAAACAGTACGGAGCCATTCGTGCAGTGCGAGATTCATGTTCTGGTCAGACGTACCTCCATGAAAGTCTCTTAATCGCCACTACTAGTGCTCTGTAAGGACTGTCTTAAATCCAGTGGGTGGTGGGGGAACGCGGGTGCGGGAAGTTCGATATCAGTGTCAGGTTAGCTAGAGGAGTGAAGCAAGAAATAAAGACTGCAGGCAGCGACGGTCAGCAAATGAACTTCACTATTCATCATGACTGCGCCGCAGGATCAGGGCACTACGACCGCTGGAGGCTGGGGGTTGCCGTTGGTGTCACTTGATGGGGAGGACTGCTGTGTGTGGCTGGGGTCGTTCCTTCTTGGCGCTCAGGAACCCAATCGTGGAGCGTTGAGATATCAGTTCCAAATCGAGCGTGATAACAGTGCTACCTAGGCCGACCCTACACATTGTTCTCAGTGCGAGACTCGTTAATTACAGGTTCTACGTTGGATAGGCACCTCCTTAACTGAATGATATTCTCTAACCTCGCCCAAAGCTCGGCCCCAAACGCGGGCCTGAGCAGCCTGAGACATAGGTCCTAAGTTCATCAACCTAGTCGTTTCACATTTCATCGCCTCAAAAATAGGCACAACTGAAGCGCGCCGCCATTTATACAATAACTCGACTTCAGCTCAGGCGTATCAAGCGATCGGTAAACTCCAGGGATGAACTGCATACAGCATGTTCTCACGCATCACGAATCTTCTAGAGGGAGGCATTGATAGATCAAATTGCTTACTATATTAGGAGGCACATTAATTAGCAGGATGTAGGTTTCTGCACCAAAGAATCCTTATCGTGCTCGAAGTTAGGTAATGAAATGCAACAGAGGACTTTTATCTATTGACCATCACCACAAACATCTCAGAGCAACGAGTCTTCCGGAAAAGGCTGTCTCAGGATCCATCACACCCAGTCACCTCAGTAATCCTTTGACAATGGTAGTGACAGACGCCCTATCTACCCAAAGAGACCTTGCATTCTATCACCACTAACATCTCATGGCTTAAACCCCGTTGCCTAAACAGTCTTTTAAAAGTAACAGTGACTGGCTCACCTTGACCTAAATGAGGCCTCCAATCTGTCCCCCCCGCGGTATAGACACACTCCGAACCAGGGGAATGTGATGATCATGTTTAAGTTAGATTGCCTAAAGGAAACGTCAGTCGTAAGATGTGGAATGCAGAACCGGCCCTACCTTTCAACACCCCATTTCTTATTCTAGCCAGAATATATCTCGGGAGGTGGAGCACCCGTGCTTAGGCCCGCTTAGCATCCACCATGAAGCTAAATGGATGTTGTTAGAGGAGAGGTCAGTACAAAGCATGCAGCTGATTAACCATGAGTGGAAGGCTCCATATAGGCAACTTGCTAAACAGCTTTCAGATCACCTATCCGACAGATGCCATCTCGCTTGAAGTAAAGATCATATCATCGTTAACTCCTACAATCTGCATATCTACATACTAGGCTCCTACAGTATATATATACAGTGCTAGATTCCGCTGACTCAAAACATATATACACTCTAGCATGGCTAAAGAAAAATTGAAAATAATTTATGTATACTTCGTAGCAGTCGTTAGACGATCATATCTATTCACCTCTCTCCAACACGCTCCCTTTCGCCATTCGGCCGTACCTGTATGAACGTCGCAACCCGCGCCCTCTCAAGAACGGGTGTGGGCGAGATACTACTGTCCCAGGAGTCCCCGGTGTTGGAGCGAGTGGATTCTATAGACGTTTTCTTCGATCGCCCCACCGCGTCCATATCGTAGACATTCTTGTTGCCTCCGGTGACGACTGGAGCAAGGTGAGCTGTGCTTTCATTGCTAAGTTCATCTAGTTCGTTCCTACTCGATGAATTATGGGTCCGTGGGCTCTTGCTCAAGTTACTGGAGGCAATTTTGCTGCGTACTCCCTCCTTCACCTTGCGGAAGAGAGGCCGAAGAGTTGCGAGAGATGCCGCCGTGATTCCAGTTCCGGGTTCAGCGGTTGCCCATATTGTGGCAGTTGGGGCATCGGCTGTTGAAGATGGTCAGTAAGAATGGTGGTTGGGCTGCTTGTGAGCAAACGAACTGATGAAGTCTCCACTGAGGAGAAGCCCTTTTAGGTAGACCATGCGAAGAATAGCAGATATACTTCCTCTACATAGGGTTAGTAACAAGGGGCGATGGACAATGCTGAGTGAAAACTTTACTTACACCGCACCCAGTGCCATGATTATACTCACTGATACCTTTGAGCGGCTATCCATATCACTCTCGATGAGTACAAATATGGGAATCAGGACGAATATCCAATCTGCAACGACGCAAATGATACCATATAGATATCCGGTGAAGAGTAGGAATCCAGTAGGCAAACACTTGAGGCTACCTTTCATAAGACTAGGTAGCAGTTGGGCAGGCGGCCCACATTGGAAGATTGCAATGAACACATAGAAGAACCCGTAGCAAGCTGACACCCAGAGTATGGTATGAAAGATGCGCCTTTGCCATCGCTTGGTCAATACGCGTAGGAAAAAGAGCCCCAATGAGATTTTGAGAGTAGTTGTAGTAAGGATGTAGAAAACTTCGCTCAGCTGTACGTGCTGCAGTCTTGTTAGTAATTAGAATACTGTCTAAGATTTTCGAAGCTTACAAGGATAGTCCTTTTTATTGCGGTGAAATTTGGCACATAGCTGAATCCTCCAAGGGAAATGATGACTGATATGAAGGCGCAGTAGCAGGTAAATAACATCTACTCGGTGATTAGCTATTCATCATTGCAACAGAGACGGCTTCACAAACTAGAGTGAGGACCATCAATGTGTCATCCCAACCTGGTGACTTGGTAATTCGTATTCTCCCCCAGAGTCGCAGAAAGACTGTTGACCATGATGAAATGAGAAGAGTGATAATGAGAGAGAGCTCAGTTTTGGCAGAGTTGGATGCAAGGACAGACCCTTTAGAGACAGGTAAATCCATGATGAAATGAGTCTGTCTAGACACAGTTTGGCAATCAACAGTGGCGCGATCACACCTATATAGATGAGAACAACCTGAATCGGCTTTTACCCTACCCGTGTCGCTGCGGCAAACCCATTAACCCCACGAACTTTGCCAGGTATGTCGGGAAGTTTTCTCATTGGCGAGAGAACTCCGACCTTTGGCGAATTCCAAGCCTTCCAGACGACTCGCTAAATCGATGGTCCGGCATTGCTGGTTTGTGACGATACAAGCTGTGACAAGCCGTCGGAGCACATGGAACTTTGGGATATCCCTGGCATAGGTGCCAAAGAGGTGTAAGAGAGGAAGTAAATTGTGGCGGATAAGCTTTGAGACAACACTTGAAGGTAATGCTGCAGATGGCTGAATTGGGTGCCCGTAGCCTAATGGACATTCCCATTCTATTCCGCTAATGAAACGAGAACACTGTGAGGAAGGCGGGGATGGCTGAAAGTGGCCTGTTGTGGAGAAGCCGATACATCCTAGATAAACCAACGCCTCGCAGGGGTAGTGAGAGTTCCGGAGCGTTTGCAGCGCGTTTCTATAAATCCCCAAATATGGCCTTTGTGCACTCGGACTGAGGAAGTAGCCGCGCAGGGTTTCCACGACCCAGATCTTCTTGCCTTGCGAGGATCCGACAGGCCTCAAGAACCTTGCTACTGTATTTATGGTAGGGACTTTGTCCTAGAAACTAACGTATCCGGTAATCTATATCTATCATCACTACCCAGGTGAGAACTGGGAGGCATCTGACCAAAAAGTACTTCCGACGACTGACGCATTTGAGCGATCCGTGTTCCACTAAAACTATTCTAAACCTTATATTTACTTCCTAGGTCTTAAGGAATCTGGAGGCCGTGCCGTTTCGAGTGAAGGTTTGGAGAATCCAAGTTTATCGCCGGAACAAAAAATACCGTTTTGGAAAACAAGAGAGCGCTTGGAAGGACTGGAGCGGCTCAAGCGCCTTCAAATGGATTGTGATCAAGTAGCAGATGAAACAAGCTTCAAGTGTTGGTGCCGATGTCGAGCCGGATCATTCAAGACAAGGGCACGAAGGATGAGGCTTGGAACCTGTACTAATCCAAATATGGTCTAGCCCTGAATTCCCCACACGGTCCGTCCCACGCGAAAATTTCTGTTTCTTCTCAATCTCATCACCACTCGACTCCCTCCCTTCTGTGAACCACATATGCTAGCAATTCTATTAAACAAACATGATAAGCATAATATTGATTACTAGAGCTCAAGTTGTTCAATAGGGATAGGATCCCCCCTTCGCGGTGGTATTAATTAACCGTCACATGGAGCTGCAGGGTCTGACAACTATCGGTACGATCTTAATTGTTTTCATTCAATTTGTCAGTCGTTATGATGAAGAAGCATATTTCACAGACCTGTTCCGAACCTATACATGTGGATGATTGCTTGGAGACCTTCTGAGCCTTAATTTTTGTACCTTTCTCTGAATCCATGATTCAGTGCAAACTATTCGCTAACCGTCTCGCTCAACAGTATATACGTGTGTGATAAGATACGCCACCTGCTACCATTATAGAGGCGAATATAGCCATTGGGACGCTGCTTCTTTGAACATTTGCTATGCTTCAGAGGGACGGCCTTTGATGGATTCAACACCTTGTTTGCATGCTTCATTGAAGTATAAGAATGCCCTTTGTTTGGGAGATGCCTCATTACCCTGCTATTACACTTCGTTGTTCGAGGATAAAAATATCAGTGAAGTGTATACACAATGGATTGTTTTTAGATAAAGACGCTGTGTCCGCGATATATTCGGCGAATATGCCTTCAATTTTCAATCCAAGTAATTCCCTTGTGATCTTTCAGACCCACCCACTGCAATCATTCAATTCTGTAAGCCCAAAGAGATGGCTGATGCCGCAGCACAATCCGCCAACTCAAATACTATGCAGGACACTCTACCACTGGGCTCTGCTGCCTCGCAAGCTCGACGACGGCTCTCCCGAGCTGAAAGCCTCTCAAAGCAATTAGGACAGGGCTTTGGGGGACTTGATTGGGAAAACTTCCTTACTGATGAGACTCTTAACTGGGACAACGATACCCCTCTCGGGCCATTTCAATATGAAGATCCCCAACATGCAATTATTGGTCACGGCCAGGACCCGTACTTTCTTGCAATTCCTGAGAACACCGATATTAGGGGGTTTATGAGAGATGACTCGAGCTTTCTGCAGGCACACGATCATAGGGGATCTATTGGGATGACCAATCAGCCTTTCGTTGCTCTGCCTAACGCAGATCTTGGAGCGTCTCTACTTGAGTATCCATTGGATCTTCACCTTGTGGATTCGAACTACCAAACCAATGACTTCTATATGGGACACGAGATTGTTCCGTATGAAGCTGATTCGCTTTTCATTCCCAAGGAACAGCACACTAGGTCTCCCATTAAGACTGTTGCCTCCGAGTATCCAACTTCACGCCAGCGAGCTCGTTCTGGTTCGTATGGTACTGCGGGATCTGGGGTTTCTCGTAGGAAGGCTCGTACTAGCTCATGTGAGTCTTCCCAATGTTCGATATCCGTCCCAACACCAACTACTTCCCGTCGTACATCAGTCTCCCTCACCAACCCCAGCGCCAAATTGCGGGACTGGCAAGCGATGAAGCACCGAGCATCGGCAGCTGTTCGCTACAAGATTGGTGATCAGCCCAAGACGGACGATGCACGACCATGGATCCGAGTCAATGCCACCACTAAAGGGGACACAACCCGTACGAGCAAAATCAACAACTACACCGCCAACTATGAGGAGCGCCCGCATCCGCTCGGCACCGGGTGGGATGGCCCCAAACATCGTTTCGACTACACCCCAGCCGGTGAGTTCAAAGAAAAGACGATGTCTGCTCCCCAGATTAAGGAGTTTATTCTCCACTACCCTCGCGATCAGAGGACCGCTAAGCTAAAGCTCTGGCTGCAGAAAGGCCCTACTGACTCTGCACGCCGGTATAAGACTAACACATGGTCTAAGTGTCGCTTCCGAAACTGCCCAGCTCAAGTTTATCAGACAGGAACAATACTTCACGGCCACTATCGCATCGCGTTCGACGAGAAGTGGCACCGTGACCGAGAAAACGCGGATCCATTCCTAACGACTGGATATGTTCATCTATACTGCATGGAGCGCTTCCTGGATTTCCCCGAAATCTGTACGAAGGCTGATGTGGAGGTTGACACTCGTTCCTTGACCAACGAACCCAAAGCGCATTTTGCTGCTACACTTGCAGGTGCTCCTGAATCAGGCATTGGAATTGCATTCATTGAGAATTGCCGTCGCAAGAAGCTCCAGCAGATAGATGAATTCAAAGACTATCCATGCCACGCTGACTACAAACATGGTGAGCCGAAGCCTCACGAGAAGACCTTGACGTACTGGATGACCAAGATCAAGGCAGAAAGCCGGCCTCCCGCCCAAATTCGTCAGTTCCAGGCTCGTGGACTGAAGAACACTCATCTTGTCGTCAACCTGGGTGATCTAGAAGTTCTCTTCGGAGATGTCATCAAGAATAGGCAAGCGAAGAAGGCCAATCGTAAGAAGACGAGGCACAGCGATGACGAAGAGCAACAGCTACATCCGAAGAAGACTAGGACCACCAGTATTGCAGCCCACTCGCCGCCTCAGTATCAGTTTACTCCGCGATCAGCTCAGAGGAAGAGCAAGTGCGCTCCAATGCAACAGAACTTTGATGGGGGCGAAGACACTGAGCCTTATGATCCTTTGAACTGGGCTCAAGAGGACAGCGACGACGATTTCAACGCTCCCGTTTCGTTTGCCTCACCTCCCCAGCGTAGTGGATTACGATTTGGACCCAACCCTCGACTCCGAGGGTTGCCGCCTATCAACTACAGTGTAGGTAATCCAGCCAACCCAAGACCTCCTCCGCAGGCCTCGTCACAACAGCAGCTGGTTGTCGATACGCAGTTAGAAAATGTGACTGGTCTACCTAACGACCACGAGCTATCCTCCGTCGTAACATATCTGAACTCCTCCATAGCAACTCGAAACGACCCTAAAGGCCTCTGGGAGAACTACAATTACAACGATCATGAAGCCACAGCGACCAAGGAGCTGAACCTCGATTTCTTGAATCGGCGGCAATCCAGCAGGTCCGCCCGATACGCCCGAAGCACCGCATCGTCAGTCCGTCCCCCCGGACGATGAAATCTACGGACTCGGTCTCTCACCGTAAATCCGTCCAGTAGGTTGATCTCGTGGGAACCCATTCGCGAGGCTGGTTGAATAACTCGGGTCGCAGCACGAGCAAGCGCCATAGCAAGCGCGCTGATGCTACTCACAAAATCCTCAATGAATGCGTTGAAGAAAAGCGAAAGTGGTCTTGAAGAAATAAAAATACAAGTATGGTAAGTGTTGGTGGACAAGGCGAAGGAAAAGATGACAGGGTTGGAAGTTGAAGGAAATAGAAGTGTCGCTGGGTGGCGTAAGTATATACATCTTTAGTTTCTTGTTAGCTTTTGCAACGCATCGTCTTTTACCAGCGTCCATTTTTGGTTCTTTATTCCGCAGCATTTATTTACTGGTGTTGGACAATGGATCTGGAGGCTGGACCTCTGAAGGATGTCGGACGCTAAGTCAGATTAAGGTCTCACTGATTTGGTACAAGATTAAATAATCTATTTCTGTGTTAATCTATGCAATGTCTTAGCTTTCGCGTCGCGTCATTTCTGCCGTACTAAATATATTATAGCGGACTGTTAATAGGTGAACGAACAAAACTTAACTAGTACTCAGCTAACTATATAACTATAGCAGATATAAAAATAATATAATTTTCTTAGCAAAATTTAACTAGTCTACATATACGTAATAAAGTATAGAGTATTTAGTGTAAAATACTAGGTTATATGTTAGCGCTTTTATCTTATATAAAGTAATGCAATAACGCTCTTCTCTATATAGTAGAATGCTGTTATAATATCTTACCTTGACTTTCCTATTGCTAGGTGTCTTCTAATGGTAACAGAGGGTCTTAGGGAAGAGAGAGGAATAAGAGATAGAGACAGAGTAAGAAGAGGGTTAGATGATACTTTTCTAACATATAATAGTGTAAAGAAGGTGCACAGTCCTCTATACAATCTAGCTAGATGTATAGTATTTTTAGGCTTTACAAACTTCTATTAAAGATTTGTCTATAATTACTTAAAGATTATACGCCTACTAGTAGACTATATAACAGCTGCTTAAGCTCTAAGTCCACCCTGTAGAGGCTCTAACTTAAAGAAGAAGAAGAAGAAGAAGGCAAAGCAGAATTATAAAAGTTCTACAAAGTAGTACTAGGAATAGTTCTAGCCTAAAAAGGCCTATAATGCTTTTCTAACTTTTTAGTTAAAATTTATAAATGCTTTAGTTTTTTAGCACTTTAATTTATTCAAGCTAGTTAATAATTATTATAAATGCTTTTAAGTTTATAATAGTAGTAATACTTCTCTAGCCTGAGTTCTTTAAGCTAGTAGTAATTTACTACTAAAGGCCTATAGCCTTTTAAAACTACAAGTTTAGCAGCTTATAACTCTATTAGCATACGCATAACAAAAAGTTATGCGTAATTATAGAAAGCTTTAAACATTAAAGGCACTACTTAGAGTACACTTTAAGTGTAATTTAAGTACTTTTTAATTATAACAATTTACGCTATTTTATAATAATAAAAAAGCTTTCCCTTAAGCAAGCGCGCTAAGCAGAAGAGCTAGCGCAGTTTAATTTTAAGATTAAATACAAGCTAGGTTTAAAAAACCTAGCTAATGTAACGGCACAGGCAAGACAATGGGTCCGAATGCGGTGGGAATCCACTCAGAGGCATATAGAAGTGCGTGGGGACTCTAAACCTGGGAATGCCATTAACACCTATAGGCCTTATACAAAAGAATATTAAAAAACTACTAAGCTAGCTACAGAAGCAAGGTGCAACTAAATACATAAAAGAATAGGGGTAACTATAAAGAACAAAATTAAGTTATAGTTAGAGCTAATATAAAGACCCTTTAGATAGGTTCTAAACAACCTAAGATAAAATAATTTATAAAAATTATTACACTACTCCTCTCTTTATAAGCTAATAGTCTATATTAGTAGTGTTTAAAAGGTATTTAAAACTACTTTAAAACTAATTTAAATAAAATATAATAAGTATAACTATCTTAACTAAAATTTTCTGTTACTAAGAAATAAGCTAAAAACCTAATACTAATATAATGCCTTTATTATAATGTTTTTGTTTAGTAGTAACTAGTAGTGTAGTTATTATTAATATAGTAAATTTATTATTTATAGTAATAAGTGTTTACTTACCTTACTTATATAGTCTAGTTAATGTTGTTAGTTTCTTCTTTAGCCCTTATTTAAATTTCTACTTTATAAGTATTATTATACACCTAACATTTTATAGCTTAGTCTACTAACTAATTATAGTATTAAAGAAAATTACTATACTACTTTACTTTTCTTTTAGAGCTTCTTTAGAGGTGTTTTAAGTTATTTACTTTTAAGCTGCCTATACTTTTACTTATAGCCTTTAAGTTAAGTTTTTCTATTAGTTCTTTAAATTAAAAAAAATATAAATATTACACTTTATGTTAAATAGGCTCTAACAGCTAGCTGCTTATAGTATAAGCACTTAAGTAGCAAGAGTAAGAGTGGTGTACAGTGTGCACAGCGTACAAGGTAAGTAAAGTAAGGGCAACATGTTTCTAGTTCTATTACTCTTATCTTTTCTTTATATAGAGGAAAAAGGGGATATTTAGATGTTTACACATAAAGGTTTACACATAAGCATTATATAACATAGATACATAGTCCTGCTTATGCACAATTACTTATATCTAGACTGTAATACTGCTACTGTGTATAGACACTAGCAACTTTTCTTTTTATTTAAAAAGTTGCCTTTTATATGTGTTACCTCTTTTTTATTTATATAGGTTTATTTAATTATGTTTTACCTTTACTCTACTTTATTTATTAAGACTTACCTTAGTAATACTATACATTAAAATAAGCTAGTTACACTATGTAAATAGCTTTATAAATAGTGTAAAGTGTTTTAAGCTATTATTATCTAGCCTTTATACACTTACTTTATAAGTAATTTAGCAGTGTATAAACTATTTTATGTAGAGTTTTATGCTAGAATAGTGTAGAATCTTTATGTAGAGTTTTGTACTAGAATAGTGTAAAATCTTTATGTAGGCAGGTGCATAAGAAGGTGTATATAATAAGGTCTTTTTTTTTATTTTTTTTCTTTATTTTTTACTTTTTAAGCTTTACTATATAATTCTTTAGCTTTTTTCTCTTTTTGTACAGTGCTAATAGTGACAGATACTCCTGCCTGCACACACACACACACACACACACACATAGAGAGAGATGTCTCTCTAGCCTTCCTCCTCTACCTCTAGCGCTGTTAGTGCGGGCGTCTTTAATGTCTTTATGTAGTCTAGCAGCCTATAGTGCATCTATGTTACTCTTTTAACTAGTTCTACTACTAATTAGCAGTTTATTTAGTGTTTTAGTATAAATATATAAATCTTTTAGCTCTTTTACTTCCTTTTTATATAAAATGCTAATTATAAATAGGCTAAGAAGTAGCATGTAGCAGCTTTACTATTTTATAATATTAATATTATTTTACCTGCTAGCACTAATCTGCAGCTGTAGGCAGCAAAAGTTATGCGTTATAAAAGGTACTTCTATGTAGTCTTAGTCTAGAGTTATAGTTAAGTTCTAGCAACTTTATGTGCTTATTATTATAGCAGCACTACTAGTGCCTTTTTTTTTATTAAGTGTTATATGCTAGCTAACTTTTAGGCTAATGCCTACACCTTATGCGTATAGCAGAGCTGTGGTCTGCATTATAACCACTACATATAAAGGGTAGTGTGTTCTAAGAGGGGGGGGGAGGCTAGTAGCTTTTTTTTTTCTGTGTACTTGATAAATAAACTATTTTTTTTACATATCTTTCTCTTCTAATTTTATACTAAGAAAAATAAGTGCGTATAATAAAAAAAATAAAAAAGATAAGCTTTATATAAAGGTGTTATTAGTCTAGTTAGTCTAAAGCATCTTTGCGCATAGGATCTAGCTAGTCTACAGATGCTTCTATCTAGACAGAGAGGCAGTTAGTTAGGACTAATAATTAAAAAGCTTAATTTAGTGTTTTTTTTATACATATATCTACTAAGTTATTTTTACTATTAATCTACCTAATTTTAGTAATTTCTCTCTTCTTATATAATTTATAAAGTAATATAATGTTAATTATAAGTTACTTTTTACTAGTAGTGCTTAGCTTAACTAGGTAATTATATAAAAACTTTAAATTTATGCAGATTACTACTAAAATTAGTAGTAGTTTAAGTGTTTATATAATTTACTATAGAGTTATACTAAAGGTAATTACATTATTAAACTTTTTAACTATTCTATATAGTTTGCTAGTAAAGACACTCTTAGTTACTCTTTTACACTTAGTAGAATTTTAGTGTATAATGTTACCTAGTATTTTAAAGTAGTTGCTTTACTTTATATAGTTTTTATTACTTAATATAATTAAGAATCTTAGCTATAAGCTAAGGTTTTTATTATTAGTAAATAATCTATTTATAAAAATAAATAGCTTTACATAATTAAGCTATAATAGTAAAAAAGTAAGACTACACTTACTATTATCTATCTACTATTAGATTTATGCGTTAAGTGTGTTAATGTTGTTATGTAAAAGGTCTATAGTTTATGCAGTAATAAATAAGTTAAATGCTGCCTTTAGTTAACACATAAATGTAATATATACCTCTTTTGCACATTACTTAACATATTATTATGCAGCATTTTTATTTTTTAGGTTAATTATATAAAGGTAGCTTACTTATTCTTTTTAAGTAAAAACTACTATGTTATGTGTAAGTTTAATTCTTCTACTGTTAAACTTAATAGGCTGCTTTTCTGCTAGAATAGTTTTACTTTTTATATAAAACTTTACTTTCTATAGTTTCTTTTCTTTTCTTTATGTAAAATTTTTTATTATAATGCTTAAAGTATTATCTGTTTATAAGCTAGTAATACTAAAAGTGTACTCTTCTTTATTAGTAATTAAAAAGTAGGGGCTATATAAAAAGATGTGCATGCGTAGCTTTTTTTTATAGTAGTTA